GGGGAGCAGGCAGAGAAGGAGGGGTGGGGGGGGCAAGAGGGGTGGGGGGGGAAGGGAGGCCGCCCCCACTCCCCAGTCACCTGCCAAACGGAAGGATGGGGTGAGGGGAGCATTAGGTGTGGATGCGAGCATCACCATGCAAAAAGAGAGCTATTACCCACACGTCGACTTACCTATAAAATATATTATTTATCTGTTTTCTGATGTAAGCTCTTAAGCCTAAGAATTTTCCATAGATTCTGTGAAGGGTAGTTTTAAGAAAGTCTCTCTCTCGAGGATCTTCACTGTCAAAGAGCTCTAAAAGCTTCAAGAAGAAAAAGACACTTAGTGGCTCAGGATTCCTGCTCGGTAGATTATGGCTTTTGTAGTTTCAGCTAATTTGTACCTACCTGCAATACAAATTTCTGATCAATATATTTCTTCGCTATATTAGGTTGGAAATCTGGAGACTCTAAAAATCTTAAGAAAAATTCATAAACAAGCTAGAAGAAAAAAAAAAACAACAACAATGTATCAAATAACATGGTATTTTATGAGATAGAGATCAAAGACACCCATGAGTTGAATATCTGCCTGAAAATATTAGCCTTAAAAAATAAAGCCACATTATCTACAGAATTAATGCCAAATTACATGGTTTAATCAAGTTATAACTGACGATAATAATTATTTTATTTAGCTAAGAACCACAGACTATACCCTTAAGTGGCATTTAAGCAAAATGGTACCCATGGCCGATGTCGCCAATGCTTAACCGACGCTGGTCAGAGACCACAGTGCGTAGCAGCCACAGCCGGTGGGATCTACATCCTGCCACCTACACGTGTCCTGGGCAGAGCCGGACGGACTGGAAGCTGGGACGGCTTGGCGAGCGGGTCCCAGACGCAGTCACCCACCGCTGGGAGGTCCCTCCCCTGCATCAGAGGGGTTGCCTGCTGTTGTGGTTACACAGCAATCCCACCTGCCTTGGCGGGATGTTCTGCCACCGAGACAGCCCCCCTTTGTGATCTGTTCCCCATCTAGCTCGTTCCCAGCTTCCCCCTTTCCGTCTCCCTTCCTGCGGACGACCCAGACCCTGACCTGGCACACGGCCTGCACATACTCTGCTTGTGCTGGGCTCCGTGCCTTCTCAGGCGTCCAGCCTCATCAACGACCAGCTCTCTGCCTTACAAATGTGTTAGAAAAAGGTGTCAGTCAGCGGGTAAGCTCTGGGGTGCGCTGAATCTAGGTACCGTAAACAAGAAGTGTCTGCAAAGGGCTTCAATTCCATGGCTATCAACCAAGCAGTCATTTCCACTGCAGACATACAGACAACTCCGTATCTTTGTAGTTGGGGTAAAGTGTTCAAACAAACAAAAACGCCATTCGATGTTCTCACTTCTGCTGAAATGCCTTCCTTGTATGCACAGGTTTACAAATCACAGGGGCACCTGCCACCAGCTGGGGTGAGGCCTTAGGGCCAGTGCACTTGCTTTAGAGGAAAACCTCACAGACACACACATTCAACTCCTGCCCCGGTTTCGGGGGCGCTCCCAGAGTTCAGTACCTGTAGATGAGGCCAGGCCGCCTCTAACGTCGGCTCGTCCTCCTCGGGGTCAAATTCTGCTCCCGTAGGATTGGAGGAAGGTGGTAACGTTCGAAACATGTTAACTGCAAACTGAAATCCACATATTCTAGAATTATAACCAGGGCATTAAAAATATTTACAGATAACAGTTGAAAGAACGTTTACAGAAAACATTAAAAAAACATTTACAGAAAAATATTTAATTCTAACAATTGCTGCTTCCGGTGGTCGTTGGGCTCGTCCTTATTCTCAAGATCGAGAAGCAGTGTGGATCCCCAACGAGATTTTGGGTCAAAACTGCGGCAGGAAACATGGCCGTGGACAGGTGGCCACCCTGAGACTCCTGTCTCACTCTGAGCTGCCAAACTCACGGGCGGCTACCACCAACCGGTGCCGGTGGGCAGCGGGGAGGTCAAGGTCTCCACCGTGGGTGCAAAGCGAGGAGGCAGGCATCGAGCTGGGAAGGAAGGGTGAGATTATAAAGGCAACAGCGGAGACTGAACGACCGGGACCGAACGACCGGCAATGGAGCGCCGGCAATGGAGCGCCGGCCCCTCGTGTGAGCCTGCCCCAGGGGGCCCCTGCGAGCCACAGAGGACGGCCAGCAGAGGGCCCCGGGCTACACGGTCATGATCTAACTCTGCGGTCATGATCTTACTCTGCGTGGACTCACCAAGAAATGACTTGAGAAGAGATTTCTCTGGACTTTGAACGAACCCCTCATGCAACTCGCTGCCTGTTTTTCTTTATATTGTCCTTTACCACGGACTCCCACCCCCGCTCCGTTTATTTCCAGCTTCATAAAAGTCAGTGTTTTACGACAGACGTTTCTACATGAAGTCTAGAATTCTCTGGAGCACAGGTACACTTTAATGCCCACATGGTTAATCTCTAAATTAAGCACAACATACACGGACAAATCGGTGATATAAAATGTTTGGTTTTTCTGTATCATCGATTTATAACCCACTCTTTCTTTATAGTAATTTAGATACGATTAGTTACCTTACGGAATCTCTGAACCCGCCATATGCCGGTTACAGAACTGGGCTCCAGTGACTGGCTCTCACAGACGAGCAGAGCAAGACCTCTGCCCCTCCCCACCCCTCAAAGCACAAAATCCAAACACCGGCCACACAAGGTTAAGACCCAGCTCCATGACGGCGTGCAGGACTTCCTTGTGGACAGTCCAGGGCAAGCTTGCCGTCCAGGCATCCAGTCTCAGAGAGACGGAGCTAAAACCCCAGGTCATCCGCTGTGCTTCCTCCCGTCTTTACTGTACTGACCCTGAACTCTGAGCCTTAACATCATGTTTCGTGAAGGAAAACACCCCCTCTTCAAGCCATCAGCTACAAAAGCCCCGAGCATGAAACGTTTGTTGTCTCTGTTGTCTGAGACGAGGAGTAGGTGCAAAGAATCAGAGCAATGGGGCTGAGACGGTGCAGGAGTGGAAGGAACAAAAAAATGGTTGGAAATCCAGAAACAAGTAAAAAAAAAAACCCTTAGTAAAAAAAGAGAAAATACTCCTAAAATGTAAGTAGAAAGTAAACCTGGGAACCTGGGGACAGGGTCCTGAAGAGACCTCCCAAACAACAGGGGACTAAGGAACAGAGGCTGTGACAGGTGCTGCCAGGTGGACGGGGCATGCCCCCCGTCACCGGCCCCCAGGGGACGGGGCAGTGAGGGACTCTTCCAGCATGCTGACCCCGAAGCCCACAGAAGCGAGCAGGCAGACTCGAGGGACTCCCACACCAAGGGAAGGCCACACCCTGGTGGGTCCCGCTCCCCTGGGGCTTGCAGAGGGCAGCAGACCGGCCCTGGGACCCCCAGCCTTTTGCCCCTTCCTTCCCGGGCTAGGGAAGCGTGGAGAGTAGAGTCAGTTGGGATCTGGGGCCCGTAAGGGAGTGTGGCATTCATGAGCTGGGTTTTCTACGCTCTCCCTCAAAGCCAAATGGCTGGGGGCTCCCACAGTCACCCAGAGACTGGGGACGCTTGAAGAGAGCGAGGCGGGGGAGAGCCGCAGGCTGAGCACAGGAGGGCAGAGCCCACGTGGTGTCCCCGGGCGGCCAAGAAGTCGGGGGACACGCGATGTGCCTGCCTCCCTTGGAGACTCGCCGGAGAAGCCTGAGTCCCACACGGGACGGGACTGCCATGCGGGTACAGGGGAGCCGCTCGGGCCCAGCCAGGCCCCCTTCACGTTCCTCAGCGGCCAGCCCCCAGAGAGACTAACCAGGGCCAGGAGAGCAGGGCCTGACGGACCACAGCCAGGGTGGGAGCCCCCCCACTCCCCCCATCATCGAACACTAATCTGGGCGTCACCGGGAAGGTAACTGCGGCCAACATCTACAGTCTCAGACTGAGCACAGATCACCCTCGAGGACACGGGGGGCCTCATCCACTCGGCCGGCAAGCCTGAGGAGCGGAGCTTTGGGTTTTCCTGGGGAAGAAGAAACCCCCTGGGGGGCAGCATCAGCTCCTGCCCGAGGGAGGTCCTGGAAATCCGTCTCTCAGGTTCTCTATCCTACTGGTAGTTTCTCTGATCGACCTCCGACGGACACACCTGGCTAGTTAGATTCTTAGTCAACTGGCTCTATTCTACCGGAAGTGAAGCTAAGGACTGCGTTCCCGGGTGAAGCCAGGTGCACTGTGTCACCAAATCCCAGACGTGGAGTCAGGAGTCTGCGGGGCTGCTGGACCAACTTGCTTTTAACGCAGACGTCCTCATTTCAGTATCCCTGAAGCACAACCATCCCCGATCCGGGAAGTTTTATTAGTGGCCAACTCTAATTGGCATAAGTTCTTTCTTCCACAAGACAAAAAAATCTCACGCCGTAACTTCCACTCACCTTTCCTACCACGTGACGCTCCTTTAATTCAATGCTCGTCTCTAGAAAAGGCTAAATGTACTAAAACGAACATCTGGAGAAGAGCAGAAGGCAAGCGGCAGGCCACCTCGCATTGTTCTTGGGTTTCAAAACCTCTTTGCACAAAAGCTGCAGGGTCAAGGGAGCGGAGCGCCGTGTGCTGACGTCTGCGTGTCTGGACGGGGTTCGGTCTGAGCACCACGCGAGGCGGTCTTCATCGTCCTCGTGCCACAAAAACCCACGGGAAGATGTGGACCAGATGCAATTCTCACACACCGAGTGAGTGTGCACCCCGAGGTGCGGACCCAGCCAGGATCAGACTACGCAGACAGGCTGGCAAGGCTGCCTTCTGACTCAGAAGCAGGCCCTGCACATGGAAAAACCTGCCCACGCCTCGGTTTTCTCACGTGTTGAAAGTGAGTGAATCTTCTCTCGGCACCGGGCCCGTGTGAAATGGGACAGCAACGCGCATGTGCAGTTTCCGCGCACGTGGGCGCACACCGTGCGGGGTGGGACTGACCCCGTAATACGAGGAAGCACCTGCTCTCTCGACACTCCCGCTTTCGGTGTTTAAAATCACCCCTGTGGGTGCTCCCCTCCAGAGGGCTGCATTTATGGAATTAGATGCAAACCGAACTGGCTTGGGAAGTAACCTTATGGGAAACTGCTGAGATTCCACAGCATCCTGACGCCTTTCTGGATCTGTAGTACTCACGACCAATGGGTGAACTAATAGAATGTTCATGCCCTGACGTAACTGAGGTACAGCAGAACATACTAAGGCTGACAACAGGAAGGGACACTCCTACGAACAGCACCGAGAGTCTGATTTCAGAGACAATGAGGAAAGAAAGGTTGATTATTCAGTCCTTCCTTCTCGACCACAAAGGCCGTTCCACTATGTTGTTTATTGTTCTATTCACGTGAACGGGATTTATAAAGGTTGAGTCCACCAAAGGCCAAATCTCCGTTTGTCTAGATGCTCTTCCTCCCACAACAGAAACAGATGCATTCTGGGGCTGGCGGGGTGAGGGGAAAAGTGGGAAGTTTTTTCCCCAACGTTTATTTTATTTCCTGAGAGAGAGAGAGAAAGATAGAGAGAGAGATAGGGAGGAAGGGAGGGAGGGAGGGAGGGAGGGAGGGAGAACAAACAGGGGAAGGGCAGAGAGGGAGACACAGAATCTGAAGAGGCTCCAGGCTCCGAGCTGTCAGCATGGAGCCCGACGTGGGGCTCGAACCCATAAACCGTGAGATCATGACCTGAGCCAAACTTGGATGTTCAACTGACTGAGCCACCCAGGCAGCTGTCAGCATTTTTTTTTTTTAATTTTTTTTTTTTTTTTTTAACATTTATTCATTTTTGAAAGACAGAGACAGAGCGCAAATGGGGAAGGGGCAGAGAGAGAGGAGTCACAGAATTTGAAGCAGGCTCCAGGCTTCAAGCTGTCAGCACGGAGCCCGATGCGGGGCTCAAACTCACAAACCAAGAGATCATGACCTGAGCTGCAGTCAGCTGCCCAACCGACTGAGCCACCCAGGAGCCCCAGCATTTTTAAAAAATGGAACATTGTGTTTGGAAATGTTACATCAAATCTGAAAAAGCCAACAGGCAACAGAATAGACCACTGCAGCTGGGTATGATACAAAAACCAAAAATACAAATGGGAAACTAACATGAACACCTTCTCCACTAACAGTGACATAATTAGGGAATGTAATTAACAGGAGGAGCCCAGGAACACAGTCCCAGAAGTGACCCCTTGGTCACTGGGAACTCACTGCCCAGTCACAAGGCCCCAATGGAGAGAGCATAAACCCTAATAAAGGGCACAGAAGAATATTCAAACAAATGAAGGAATCTTCCCTTCCCTGGTGTGGGGCGACGTCCTATTACAAAGATAACTTCTCCACAAGGCAACGTGCACACTGAATGCAATCTTAAACATAATTCTAACTGGATTTTTGATGAACTCAAATAAGGTTAGGTGAATGATGAAAATCCTAGTGGCAATCTTAAGAGAAAACCTGTGCATTTCCTCATTTGGGAGGTTAGCTCAAGCCTGCTCTCATGGTAGGGTCCAGGTGTTACCCCAGGAATGTGCACATTCCGCAGGAGACTGAAACCCAACAACATCAATACTCACACTGAAAGCAAGTCGCTTGCACACCCTCATCAATCAAAAGGCGCAGACCTCTGACTGAATAAAGTAACCCTCAGCTCCTTAC